CCAACCTATAGACGTATCGGTATGACTTTAAGTACTTGTTTTAAGTTGAAAAATGAAGATACGATTATATCAAATTTCTTTTAAACAACTTATTAAACTATTAAAGTATTTTGAAATCTCCCCCTTTTCGTCATATTGTTTGAAATTGTCTAGAATATTTAGTTGGCTTTACTATAAAAGTCAAAATATTGGATCCAATATCCATATCCCAAATATGTAGTTCAAAATAGTTTTTTTTTGGGTAGTTTTTTAAATTAATTTTATAAGTTAGAAAATGTTTTCTTCTATAGTTTTATTSATTTTTATTAAACAACATTATTCCAACATTATATCAACAAACGGCAACCGCCTATTGACTTTTTCGAATGGAATAAAAACATTTTTGTGCACACATTTTTTTTGACGCGCGTGTTCATGAAACTAATGAACTAATGCTCTGCCAAATTCAGTTTTGATGTTTCAATCAAATTGTGGGGAAAGAAACAAAATAAATATAAGAGATGAGAGATGGAAAATTAAAAAGTTAGAGAGAAAGGAACAATCTCAGAAGCAGCATTGGAAAACGACTAGTCCACCATCCATTGACCATTTTTTTAGAAAATATAGAAGCTTTTAGGATTAATTAGCAAAATACTTTTTTTTTTTCAGGGTGTGAACTCCTACCTAATCACGTATTCAAAATTTTGTGCTATACTTTTATCATTTGAAGTATCTCTAATTGAATTTTAAAATGTTACAATATTTTATTGATTAGTACTACAATAATATTTTTACAGTGTTTATAATTTTAAATGAACGCGTATCTTTCATGTTTTTTCCGATTCTCACATCCACGGTGGACTCGGAATCGGATTTTGGGCTCTCGTTATCTTTTTTTATTTAAATTTTTTTTAGGAGGATTTATTTAATTTTATGGGTTTTTTCTTTTAAAAGTTTTCCCTTTGTCATCTTCGGTCCTTCTTCAACCTCCCCTATTAAAAGTAACGAAGAGCCCTATTTTTCGCGATCCACCACTAATACCAAAAACCCATTATACAAAATAACCAGAGAAAAAACAAAAACAAAAAAAATTTGAAAGAAAAGGAGAATATGAAATGAACCGTCCAACCAACCCATCCGAAACCGCCTTTTCGTACCCCGGAAAACCATATTCCTCGTTAAATACTTCTCCCTTAAACCGCTTTTCACTTTTTCCGAGGCCAGCTAGGGTTCCGGCGGAGGTTCGGTGATAAATCCGGAGAGAATTCGCCGGCGCGTGAGAGAGGGGGTATGGGAACGGAGGCGATTGAGAGGAGGTGGGATACGTGGGAAGAGCTGCTATTGGGAGGGGCCGTACTCCGGCACGGTACCGGCGACTGGAACCTCGTCGCGGCGGAGCTCCGAGCGAGGATTGTTCGTCCGTACGCTTGCACACCCGAGGTAAAAGCAAAAAAATCTTATTCTCATTAACTTTATTTGCTTAAAGGGAAAAACAGAGGAATGAGGAAGCGAATGATTCCCCAATTCCTCCCGTTTGCTTCTGTTTTTGGCACTCAATTTTTTAATTTTTCATTTGGTTATTCTTTTGCGTCAATAATTTATGAGCAAGTTTTTAAGTCGTTTTTATGCCCATAAATAATTTTTTGGGGTGTTTTGAACTCAAAAAAAGGAAAAAAAAAAAAATTGGGGTTTTTCTGATGTGTATCGTTAGCCAGCCAGTCCCCGCATCCGCCACAAGCCGACGCACGTCAACCCAAAAAAAATAATAAATAAAAAAAGCCATATTTTTTCGGAATGTCGTTTTTACCCTCAGGTAGGGGCCCACAGGGGCATAACCGGGAAACATCATTTAGAAACTTTAAATAAAAGAAAATAGGTTGCCTTTTCCATAAGTCTTTTTCTTTTTTTAATTTATTTTTACTCGACCTTTGATTATCGAAAACGCATGTAATCGGATTCTGTTTAAAAAATTTCGTTTCAAAGAAAAGAAAAATTTGCGGCAAGGAATGATAGTTGGTGGTTGGTGGAAACGATGTAAAATAAAAATATCTTCTTTCTTGACTCCATCAATCGCTAAGTGGGTTGACTTATTCTATTCAACCACTTGACCACTGCATATTTCTTATTTTTTTTTTATTTTTTTTGTCTAAATATGTAATTTTGCCCATCTCAGTTTTTTCGGTTTTTATTTTGTTCAATCATGCCCCACTCTTAATAGCTATTAAAATCCATTAATAGTCTGCTATATTGAAAGAGTATCTGTTTCAATGGCAGAAATGTAACTAAAAAAATAAATTTCATACATTTTTAAATGAAAATGTAATACAAGAACTTAATTTAAGGAATGTGTAACATTTTCCAGTGAAGATGAGTGAGGCATCAAATTATGTGTTTTTATTGAAGATGGTATATTTTTACATTTGCAGGTTTGTAAGGCCAAATATGAAGACTTGCAGAAGCGTTTCGTTGGATGCAAGTAAATCTTGCAACTCAACTTTATATATTGATATATATAACATACAAATTCCTGAAACAAATATATATATATATATATATATATATTTTTTTTTTTTTCTAAATTACGTTTTGGGATTATAAAAAAATTAATTCTTGATGTGGGTATCTCGTTAATAGAGCTTGGTACGAGGAGCTACGGCGGAAACGAATCATGGAACTAAGGCAAGCTCTGGAACATTCTGAAGATTCAATAGGGTCAGTAAATTGTTATAATTTATGGTTTAGATGGACGTATAGATTATATTTTCTTTGCATCAGTTAATGTCATGTTCTTAATGTATGAAAGTTTGGTAACTTAATGTAAAATTTAAGAACAAAAGTTGATAGGATGACACCCAAAATTTTGATCTGAAACTAAAAGGTTTAATTATAGGAACTGTGCAATTAGATTGGCAGTATCCTTGATGAAGGTTTAGTTTTTCATCAGCTACTCTGCCCCATTACTTGAGTTTTATGGTAAATAAGGTCGAATAGACTTCAGGTCATTGGAATCAAAGCTTGAAGCTCTCAAGTCTAGGAGTGGAGATAAGTGTGTTGTCAATAGCTGTAGTAGATCAGAATCTTGGGGAGCTGTTCAGAAACGAACGTCGAACGAGCTATCTGCTGGTAGCTTCACGCAGGAAATCCGAACTTGCAGTTCGCTCGAATGTGAGGCAGCTCCATTGTCAGCTGAAGAGATTGAGATCAAAGCAGAAGCAGAAGCATTGCAAGACAAAGTTTCGAGCATTGAGAAGTTGAGAGGGATACTATATGGAAGCCAAGGAGGAACAGTCAGGAAGAGAAGAGGGAAGAGAAAGAGGAAGAATTGTAATACTAATAGCAATAGCAATTGTAATAGTAATAGGGATGTCAAGGAAGGAAGCATTGGAGAAAATAACTTGTCCGAATCACCTAATCCTGCTACTGTTTCTCAATCATGCTGCAACTCATTCGAGCCTCATGGACCGTCGGATGCAAATGAAGCCTGCAGGAGCTCAGCCATGGATGGGGTAGGAGTTGATGTTCTAATGGCTGCTTTTAATTCTGTTGCACAGAGCAAAAGTGCCTCCGTATTTCGTCGTCGCCTCGATAGTCAGGTACGAAACGAATCAGATGCGATGCTATTCCTTTCCTTGAATTGTAGGAACAAATATTTGTTTTTTGACAAGAAGTTAATTGCTCATGAACCTTTGTACAATATGTCACAGAAGAGAGGAAGATACAAGAAAGTAATCAGGCAACACTTGGATATTGAAGCAATAAGGTCAAGAGTTACAAGTCATTACATAACGACGCTAAAGGAGCTGTACAGAGATCTGCTGCTGCTTGCTAATAACGCTCTGGTATTTTACTCGAGGAATTCGCGGGAGCACCAGTCTGCTGTGCTTCTCAGAGGTATCATTACAAGTAAATTTAAGAAGCTTTTTAAGAACTCCAGCACTGTGGTACCCCACAACCACCACAAGCAGAAAACACAGATCATTGATCCGGTGGTGAAACCACGTCGTTCGCAGCCTGCGAAGCATAATGTATCACAGAAAGAAGGCAATCTAAGAGATGTCAAAACTCAAAATGGCGGAAGAAGAAGGGGTAATATTGCTAATCCCCATTCCTCAGTGGGACTACCAAAGAAAGAGACTTCACTTGGGGCATCCACGGGAAAGAAAGGCCCTGGTGCGACAAGAAAGGCTGTCGTTGGGACATCGAAAAGCGAACGATCTGCAACTGGCACCAGGGGAAGGAAAAGAGGGAGAACAAAGTGAATGGTAAGAAGTTAAAACTTGCTCTGGATAAATATTTTCAGATTAGAACTTGTAAGTTGTAACCCAGGTAGCTCCAGGTTTCTAGGATGTGTTTGGCTTTGGCCACTGGCCAGATTGGAAAGATAAATGGGAATTGGAATGTTCATTCTATCATTTTGTTTGATGGGATTGATCTTTATTTTGATTCTCATTTGTCCGTTGGATGATGGAATGGAAACTTTATCCATTTTCAATGGAAGGTCCGTTTGAATTTATTAGATGCATTGGATTTGATGAAGACAAAACTTGAAACTCATTTTATTGAAGCGAATTTTTTAATAATTCATCTATGATGAGAATGGAATTCAAACATGCAACCGAAATTATAGAAGTGTTGTTTGTGTAATTTGTTGTTCCATTCTGTATAAATTACATAAGTTACAGAATTAGAAAGCAATGCAGACATGCTTGCTTGTTTCTCTGCACAATACATTCTTTAGAATGGTAAATTCCGAAGAATGTTATTCAATGAGAATAATATTGTGGGTGCAAGGTGGATGATATCATCATTTCTTTATGGAATTTATTCAAAATTATCTCTGGGAATAGAATAGTGAACAACTTTTAATGGCTGTACAGATAAAAGAGAAAATTTCTAGCAGAGGGGAAGGATCTCGTAAACAGTCATTCTACTTGACTTGGAAGAAAATTTTACCAATAAGTATTTCCATTCTAAATGATTCCATGCACAAATATGGTAATGCTCGGGGAGTAGCATTTCTCCCGCAAATTGTTCAATAAAACTCTAGCTTATATTACCATATTATTAGATAATTATGATTCATCATTTTTGTTCAGATTCTATCATTTATACAGTTTAGTTCTGTTGTCTCAAGGTTCAGCTTCCAGAGACATCAAAGGTTTGTTTTATTAAGTTCACTTTGACAATTCAAATACACGATTCTTGAGTAGGTGATCGCAGGTTTTAACCAACAAAGTTGCCATTTGGAGCTTCGAGCTAGGTATGGTTTTGTTGACTAGATACCATTTATGCAGCTAATTATGAGACAATCTTAAAACTTCGATTAGAAAAGTACACATATAGACACTCCTCTTTGAGAGAAGGCTCTTCCATACTCTTTAACTTTACTTGAAGATCGAACAAATAGATCTTTCTAGACCTTTTCATAAAGTATCTTAGATACCTTTTAATACATCGTTATCAAATGGAATTCTCTATAATCTTTTTGGAGACTATGGATAAAGGTGAGATATTTCTATAACTTTTATTTACCCTACATATCTATAATCTTCCAGATAAATCTAGAGAACTATTAAAAGCAAGAAGCTTTTAGATATAGTTAAATGTTGTATTTTATTTTAGGGGCACTTGCAAATATGGCAAAAAAAATTTAGTAAAATAAGCAAAATAGCAACCACATTTAGTTTTTGCTATATTTTGCTATATTTAAAATTTTGAAAAGCTGATGACATTTTTTGAAATATATAAAATATTTTTATTACCCATTGCAATTACTCTTTATTTTAACATTAATGTCGTGAATAATTGAATTATATTAAGCGTCTCTAACTAGCTAAATTGGGCCCATTGCTCAAATTAATAGCGAGAGATGATTTACATATTATGCAAGATGTTGGACCAAAAAATTTTGGCCCACTTAGCTAACAGCCAAACGTTAATAGACCAAAAGTTTAGGATGCATGCAAATTTATAAATACTTTAATTCTAAAGGATCTATTAGCAATTACTGAAAAATAAAATAAAATAAAAGTTTGCCATGCATGATGGACACGTGTGCTGCACCACGAAAACCCGGGTCTACCGCTCCTTGACTCTGACACGTGCTTTAATTTACGATCTTATAAAATTGTAATCTTTCAATTGAAAAAAGATCTGAACAATTTCTTTTTAACCAAATATGCATGGTCGATAATTCTTAATAATTTATTATTTCTAACAATATAAAAAACAAAAAATTAACGTCATCTGGTGTGATCACGTGCATSATAACGAGCGTAGCATTAAAAATAGACGGTTACGATTTGCTCGCAGTACACAGGTCCATGATTCGCATACGTGGCGCACACGGGTGCCGTATCAATCAGTATCACCTAACAACCCACGTGACGCGCATACGAGGTTACGCTGTAATACAAATAATAGCTTGCTAATCATGCAAATTAAATTAAATTTATAATATATTGGCTTCTCAAATACAAATTATATTTAATTTATATTTTAAATTTTGTAGTTTCGTCTTCAAAATTCTGCCAGGAATGCTCAGGCCTAACCCTGTGAGAAACATATAGAAAATAGGTTCTTTCAGTAGCTTGGTGATTATCATGAGTTTAAACCATTTCTTATCAAATGTTTGATTTATCTTAGTCCGTTAGACCAATGAATCAATCATATTTTTAATAATTTTTTATTTTTTATTTTTACAGTATATAAGAATGAAGAACCAAATTTACCACCTCTTAACTGTCAATTACCTCAGAATAAAAATTGATCTGTCATGATTTTGTTAACATATTTGAACCACATAAATTTATCATTTCGATATAACTACTTAAAATTGATTTTGTTTAGGAGCATATTAGAGTTTGCTGGTGGAAGCACACATTGATTAGCATCAATGTAACTGTGTATTTTAATAAAATAATATATGAAATTTTTAATAATGATTTTTTTATCAAAATATGCCATTTAAATACTATGTTAGTCACTATACTTTCAAAACGTTAAGTTGTCCTCGTATTGATTCTGTGTGATGTTGTCTGTTGGTTTTTCTTACAAGATCTCGTACCAATAAAAATGATATATAACTATATATTCATGATCTTCTTATTTATTCAACGTGAGATGTTGGTCGCATTTCCAACACTGTTGAACGATGTTCATATTCGGCCAAAAATTATTATTACTACTTTAATATAACAAGCGATGGTGGAATATCAAACGTATCCATTACCATAACTATGTTCGCTTTAACTATTATTTTTATTATTGTTATTACTAATATTATTACTAAATGATAAATTTTGAATGATGTTAATGCGTGACAGTGAGAGTGGGGGAAAATAACATGGGCAAGATTAGAATAAGACAAGACAACGTGACAGTCATCATGACGGCGGTGCTATAATAGGGCAGCTTGTAGTTACATTTACGAATAAGATATTAACAACAATAATTATAACCATTATTATCGTTGCTAAGTTAATAATTAATAGGGTAATTAATTTCAGGTTTTGCGAAATACAGAGGTACATCTTTGGATTTGGTAACGAATTATTATATTATTTGGTAACGAAATACAGAGGTAATTACCCCTGTTACGCTTGTCACAATAATAACAAATATTAAAATGAGATAAGATAAAATATTATGTATTTAAATTATAATTTAAAATAGTTTAATTGATTAAGAAACTTGCCAAAACAAGTATAATTTAGTGATAATTGACATATATCTTTTATCATTTAATCTCGACTCTCGTTACAAAAATATAAAATAATGGATTAATGATAGGTACAGCTGGAAACGTAGAGGATGAGAATTCGAAGTAAAGAGTCGAACTGTCATTTTGTGATTGGCTGTAAAAGTTTTTTGACTTTTTCTTTATTCTGTGAGGGATAACTTTTTGGTATCTTTGTGGGTCGCAATTTAATTTAAATTCGTTTCAGAGTTTTATGTATTCTTGTCAACATCTATTCACGTAAACAAGGTGCAGAAAGCATTCTTGTCATCATCTATTTACGTAAACAAGGTGCATGAAGTAATTTTTTTCAACGTTTATTGACACCATTAAATATTTGATAATTAAGAAACACAAATACAAAACTATAATAATTTATAAAAATTAATAAGTTATCAATATTTTAATGATGGTAAGAATAAGATTTGATTCTCACATTTAAATAGTCAAATGTTTTCTTTTAAAACGTTTCAATTTTAATTTGATTATTGAATTCTTTATTTTTTTCATTGAATACCATATAAAAATTTAAAGTAAAACATGGAAATAAGTATTTCACATTCAAAAAAGCATTCCAATATATACAAAACTTAAAATAAAATAAAAATCCATATACTAAAATTGCGTTTTAGTCTTTCTTGAATCTTACACTGAATCTTACAATGTCAAATTAGAAAATATCTTTTCTTTTTTAGGATTTCTTAATACAAGGTAATTTTTATAAAAACTAAACTTTTAGAATAAATGTTAAAACTATAACACTTCAATGTAATTCATCACGCTAAAGAAAAGCTTGAATATGGAAGTAAGTAGTTCATTAATCTCATCCGAAGAAATTTAAGAATGGAAACTACATTACGTGAAGTAAACAAAGTGGAAATATTCAGTTAGCAATCTAATCAACGAAGATCGAGGTAAAAATAAGTCTTATGAAAAAGACACAAAATCAACAAGTTGGCAACGCGAAAATTTTGAAAAGAACATAATCTAAAACAAACAAAAGGGAATAAAAGGAAAATTTTATCACAAAAGAATAATGTAACGAAAATGAGATTGAGCGTGAAGGGGAAGGTGTGTGGAAGAATCAGCTCAAGAGACGGGCAAATTACTAAATTACAAAACTTGTTTTTTCTTTTCCAAAATTTGTAAACAAAAACATAAAGGGTTGTTTAGAAACTAGAAATTAGGGGCGGATAATTTGTTCTTTCTTTGATTGGCAGACTGAGTTTGCTAAGCTCTGTAGATGGTAGGTGAGTTTGGTTACCAAAATAAAAAAATAGGTTTTTGTAATTAAAGGACACGAAGCAATCGGTGCTGTGCTGTGTTCTTGGTCCGATTGAGACCAAAAATCCAGAGGAAAGTCGCTGTGGGTGTGTTGTATTCGACGCATGCAGAGAAGCTCAGGTGCAAAATGGGGAAAGTGTCTTCTTCCCTTAAAACGTGGCGCTTCCTACTATTTCGTTCTTCGACTCTCTCTCCATTTTTTCTTTTACCATTATCTTTCTTTCTCTCTCTCTCTTCCTTCCCCTGTTTCTGTTTCTCTGTCGTTTTCATATTTTGCTTATCGATCACTTCATTTTCCCTTTTTTCTCATGTCTTCCGTGATTCTACACGCTTTTTGATCCATTGGGGTGTGGCCGTTTCCTGGGTTTAGCGCTGGATCTCTTCTTTTTATATTTGACGCTTCAGCTGGAGCTCCACAGCTCTGTAACTCAGGAATCTCCAAGGTAATTTTGTAATCTCTCGACTATTTCGTTTCTCAATCCACTCTGTAAAGATCTGGCCCCGGCTATTTTTGGATTACGGGTCCCCTTCCCCTTCCCCGTCCCATTTTTGGATTCCATTCTGTATACAGGACTACTTAAGGATCCAAAGTTTGGGTGTTAAAATGTGGACCTTCAAGCTCCGAGTCTTGAACATGCCTTAAATCTAATGCATTTTTTCAAGTTTGCTTCGTTTTTTTGTCTTTTCCCAATAACGATAGAAATTCGGATCTTGTGGAAATTATCATATGAATTGGTTCGGGTTTTTAAGCTGAAGTGTTGCTTCTCCGTTCTCAAATGAGAGTCGATAGATTGTTGAGCTATTTCCTACTGTGCATTCTTGTAGATTTTCCCTTATCTTCTCTTCCTGACTCTGACTAGCTTCAGGCCTCCTTCATTTATTTGTTTTCGTGGGATATTTGGCCATTCGTGGAAAGTTGGAGAAAGTCTAATTGCGGGATTCATTCCAGTCTGCCATTGTTTCTTTTTTCTTTTTCTTTTTTATTCCTCATAGAGTTAATGTTGATTAGTACCTAAAATGAATTGTGGGTATTATCATAATACGATGAATTTTTGCTTTCTGAAGCTGCTTTTGATTTTGCATGTGAGAATTAGCAATAGCTTTCTGTGGCGTGCATATGAAGTGGATAAGGGAGCTGCGAGCTTCTCATGCTTTAGTTCTTTCTTCTCTTAGATGTCTAAAACTGAACATTTTGAACATAGCTGCTTTAAGCTATAAACTCAGTATATATGATGTTATTGCTTATATCATTTTACCCTTCTATTTGATATTTGGTTTTCATATTTATGTTGGTTTTCTTTTATATGGCAGTTTATTCTTCCTCGGCTTGTTGAAGTTTAGCTTCACTGAAAATTTATCCAGAAAAGTTTTGCCAAACGCTTTATATCATAGTTATGAAATGTGTTGCCACTTAAACTGTAAAATTCAATCATCTTTTACACTTTTCTCACCGATCCAACTGAGGGAGACAAAGGGGAGAAAATGATAAAAGGAAAAGGTTCTATGTTTGCCGAGGATTGAAGACTGAAATGTGGACTACAATTTTGTTATGCCCTTAAAAAATATCATTGAATAAGAGACTCGGAAACTTTGTGTTTATTGTTATTACTTTCGGTTGGAATACTAATGGTGATTTCATCTGCTTTATGTGTAGTTATTGTGGGCTCCATGAACTCAAGATAGAAGGTTTTGCTGTCTATGAAGCCACTAAAATCATGGGAGATGCTGTTCAGAAAAAAGAATCTCTTTTCTGATGGGGTATTTTCATCATTTTGGTATTAGGTTTTTAGTTTACTGGATCCATGATTCGAACTTTTTGAATAAGACGAACTGTACCCCTTCTTTGTGCTATGGTTGATTTTCTTAGAGTATCCTAAACAGAAAATGGTTTTGTAGGGAAGATACGGCTTCAAAATGAAGCAGCTGCCGTTTATGGGTGTTATTTGTACTGTAATGCTTTTCATTGTGTACAGAACCACAAATTATCAATATCAACACACACAGGTAAAGTTCTTTTTTTTTTTAAATCATCATTATTATTATAAGGGAATTTCAGGTTTGCGTAGACACTGCTAAAATTTCACCTTTGAGATTCCCATTTGTATTTAATAGATTGTACACATGCACACACCCAGTTGGATCTTTCTGCTTAAGCCGCGCTTACTTATTTTTCTCTCTCCCCTACAGATTGAAACGACCTTACAACCCTTCGACACCACAAAGGTAAAATTTTTTTATCATTCCTCCTCATGTTTGACCAGAAATCAAGATACTTTGTTGATTACTATTCTCGCTTGAATCCGAGCCATTGTCGATGAATATTCACCATCTTAGCAAATGCTTTCAATTGTCCCTCTAGGAGGACTTCGGAGAGGTGTCTCATAACTTGAAGGGTTTGCCACGTGGCATAATAGAAGCTAGATCAGATTTGGAGTTGAGACCTCTTTGGGGAAGAAGTAGTTCGAAAAAAAGTAGTTCAAAGTTAAAGGTTGGCTTCCGATTGTTGTTATAACTTATAACTATCGTAGTTTTAAAAGGCTTTCCAGTTGATGTTTGCTTTGATATTTGTAGGATTGCCAGAGGGCTTTTTTACGTTGCTAAAATATTTGACAGTTTTTCCTTGTTGTGCTTGGTATAAATTGCAGGCTGACGATTACAGCTACCGTAATTTGCTTGCAATTCCAGCTGGCATTAAACAAAAGAAAAATGTTGATACTATTGTGAAAAAAGTATGATACTATTATCATTTGACATTAATCATATTAATTGGGATTATTCTACGTCTAACTCCATACATTTCAGTTTATTCCAGAGAACTTCACAATTATTCTCTTTCATTATGATGGCAATGTGGATGGGTGGTGGGATCTTGACTGGAGTAATGATGCCATACATATAGCCGCTCGAAACCAAACAAAGTGGTAAGATTAACTATCCGCATTGTATTTTTATCCACTCTCTGGCTAAGGATTCTCCTTTCATATATGGGAATTAGAATGGCTGCTGCTTGATTTTGATGGTTTCTGTTGTCTATTGTCATTCTCTTCAGGTGGTATGCAAAGCGCTTTTTGCAACCGGCAGTTGTGTCCATGTATGATTTCATATTTCTTTGGGATGAAGATTTGGGGGTTGAACATTTTTGCCCAAGAAGGTTCAGAAATAAAACTATTTCATCTTTAAATGTTCTTCTTATGAATAAATCATCAATATTCTCCCTGTTACTTCATCTTTCTCTGACTTCTTCACATTGTAGCCTACCCTACTCTTAATAAGTTACTTAAGTTTAAACGTTATGTTTCAAGTTACTCTAATTAAAAATAATAATGAAGACTGAAGGGTTGAGCTTTGCCAATAATATTAATGTCCTGTTCTTATTTTCAAGCTTGACCTTTCTCTTTTTTAAGGCACGACGTTTCAAGATTTGTTTGTTACTTATTAGCATGCTCATTTTTAGGACTATCGGAAAATAACTATCTGCAACTAACTAAGCTTACTAAAAATTTCCAACTGTTTCAACCCTTCCCATTACGAAGAAATATCTCATTTTTCATATAAAAATTTGATAAAACTTCAGGTACCTGGAAATTGTGAAGTCTGAAGGGCTAGAAATATCTCAGCCAGCATTGCACCCAAATTCGTCTGGCATACATCATAGAATTACTGTTCGTGCTCGAACAAAGAAGATGCACAGGTAAAAGGGATAGTTTAATAGAACTCTATTAAAAACTACTTTATCCACATAAATTTTTATCTAACATTTAGTCATCCATCCATGCAGAAGAGTCTACGATATCAGAGGCAATGTGAAATGTTCAGATAAAAGCGATGAGCCACCTTGCACTGGGTAAGTGATTGCGTGGATGCATTTATGTTTTCTCACAAATGCTATTTATTAATTTCATCTATGCTGTAACATATTACATTCCTTTTTTATTATGTAAACAAACATTCTGGAACATTAAACAAAAACATCCATGTATGTGTCTCATCCATAGAAACAAAAAGTAATGTCTTGGTTTTTATTTATCAAATATAATGGCAAACATAATGTGCGACTCTTCTTTTGTCTCTGTTCCCTATCGGTACGGGCAGATTAACTATTATTTAAACTATTACTAATTTTTCAGATTTGTTGAAGGCATGGCTCCTGTATTCTCAAGGTCGGCCTGGTATTGTACTTGGCATCTTATACAGGTAGTTCTCTTTTACCTACCCCCCTCCCCCACCCCATTAATTTCATTTTATTTTGTGTGATAAATTCATCTGACTGTAACATATTATCTTCTTTGTTCAGAATGATCTTGTCCATGGATGGGGAATGGATATGAAGCTTGGTTATTGTGCACAGGTATGGCTTTCTTATACTCGAGTCTCTAAATTAGTACAACCCCTCACATCCATGCTACCCTCCATGTTCATCTTACTGCACCATTCGTTAGGTCATAGCTAACATCTACCCTACTCGGAACCTTTATCAGCTCGGGCATCAAAGCGCTGCATTCTAGTTTTTCAATTATTTGTGCTCGTGGTAATGTTAATGAAACAAGAAATCAGAAATCAGAAACAAAAAATGAGAGCATTATTAATCCAAACTCCATCATTTCCTAAGCAAGAGGTCTTAATGATGAAAAACCCTTTTCTACTGGAATACAATTGAAAAGAGAAGATTAACAGATGCAGAATAGCTGCCAAAGCACTTAAAACCATTGCTTGACAGCTTTTCTGTTGTTTCACTGAGAAGACTGACACTGCTTAAATGAATCAGGGAACCTAAGAAATTACTATCTCCTGGTTATTTTCATCTTCTATTTGAAATGTATTCAAATAAGTTGTTCCACAGGGCGACCGCACGAAGAAGGTGGGAGTAATTGATAGTCAGTACATTTTTCATAAGGGCATACAGACTTTGGGTGGAGCTSGAAGAAAGGTAATTTAAAGTAATCACTTTTTTCATCATTTTATTTATTTACAGTGACATAGTCCATACTTTCATCCACTTTCATAGTTCAAGAAGAGATCATCGTATGGTCTGCTTTGTTCTTGATGTGCTTAAGATCAATATTCGGATTATTAAATTTTCCTTCCATTTTACAGTCTAAGCCTTCAAAAACTGCAGCCTACGCAAAGGTAACCATTCAAAAAATTGTCTCCTCTTTATTTCTTTTTATGCTTGTATACTGAATCTTTCTAAATCGCATGCTGTTTTGCATCTTCTTTTGACTCAGAAACAGAACCCCGTTTCTGCTGATGTTCGAACAGAGGTTAGACTTCTGAAGTTAATTATATCATTTCTCAGAACCAACCTTAATTTTAAGTTGCATGAAGCAAGACTACCTTCTCATTATCAGTTCCAATATGTACATATAATCTCGTTTTCGGGGTTGGGGGTGTGATCTTTCTTTGTTCTAACATAACAAAGTGTGTTTTGAACTTGAACTTGAACTCATTAGTGTTGATGCTTATGTGAGCTTGAGCAGATAAGGAGGCAGTCGACATGGGAACTTCGGATCTTCAAAGATAGATGGAACAAAGCGGTAGCAGAGGACGAGGCTTGGGTCGATCCATTCAAACAAAATTCATTTAAAAGTGACAAAAGATGGAGAACACAAAGACGCCATCCCCATTAATATATTCAGCAAGCAAACATCCTAGAAGAGCACACCTACATATGGTCATGCTGGTTGTACTTCCTTTCAACATATATATTATCATTGCCATACTGCAACAGTTGTAGCAGTCCATCTTATTTTTTTCATTGATTGAGCATTCAATTTTGTTCCCATAGATGGATTTCCTTTTGTATGTAGCAGTGTAGCTTCCTCCCCCAGAGCAGAAGGAAGAAAGACAGAAGAAAAAAAAAGAAAAGATAAAAGAAAGATAAAAAGTGTTGTAACTATTGTTATAGTTGTAATGATCCCTGATGTAGTTGTGAGAGAAGATGATTAATTCCTTGGGAAACAGAAAGCAAATTTGGCCAACTGGTCTTTGTCTTTTACATGATATATACAATCAAATGGCTTTTTTCTCACCTGTGGCTTGGGCACATATCTTGGCAATTGGAACTTTTTCCCTTGAGATTTGTACAATGTCATTTAAATTTTTGTTTGTTGATTATTGATTTATATATATATATTCTTATATATGTGAAGTTCAATTAAACTTATTAACAAGTAACACTACTTTATATACTTTATATTTTAAAAAAGTAATTTAATTATGTTTTCTAAAAAGGAGTAAGCTAATAATTGGACTTTCCATATTCACCAAATCCTATTATTTTTCGATTTTCAGAAAAAGAATATAGAATTCAGATCCTGAAAGTTGGATCCCAAGAAATTCGTTTACCAGTCAACACCATTAAACTTAAACCTTAAACTTTGAAATATAAAAAATAGAGAGATTTTTTTTGTTTTCCAAAAACTAAAAAATTGTCAAATTTTTATTAATGGTTAGCAACATACTTTCATCCTAGAAAGCTCAAAAATCTCATCTTACAAGATTCTGATATCTTTGTCATAGTGCCTAGTTTTTTTGGCTCAAGTAAGAAATCGAAATGATCCAAATAAAAGAAAAAAAAATAAGTATATAAAAAGGATATAGAGAATATGCTTCCTCCAGACTTATATATGAGCAAATTTTTACAAGTACAAACCTGGACTAGTGCTGCAATGATAAGATAGTTTCTGTGAAAATCCCATGTACCAAAAATTACAATAAGAAAGCAAAAGTAGCTTCCTCTTCCCCCTTGGCCTTAACAATACAACCTTCGTCATTCTCATGAATCCATGATACTAGAGACAAGAGGAGTTCCAGCTAGCGTCAACAGCTCTGATTATCTTGTCGTGAAGATTAGCTCCAGCACAAGCGATGACTCCTCGGTCGAGACCTTCCAAATACATGCCTTTCGAGAAGTTGAGCGGACGCCCTCTCGCATCTGTGACAACACCACCAGCCTCTTGTATGATAACCACACCGGCTGCATGATCCCATATCTTCTCCTTGTAACCAGCCCTTGCAAACTTCATGAATATTTCAGCATCACCGCGAGCTATGGCTGCATATTTCACCATGCTGTACACTCTCAATGGTTGGTTCCTGCAGTAAAACATTACTTGTTATTTATCCCTCTTCTTTCTGTTAAATGTAGATATAAAATCTGTATTGCTGTTTTGATGCTTATCATCGTCTGGCCAAACTCAGACCCCCTAAAATCTTCCTAAGACCAAGGCTATGAGAATATGAAAACACATGTACCTAAGACCGACGCTATGAGCAAGTCCTGCTGTGAATGAATGGCTTGAATTTGCTTTCTCGACTGGCTCGCAGAAGGTTGCTAATGCTGGATCGTCAATGGAGGATACTTGAATTGGTATAGCGGAGTTCGGCCATACTAATTTCTTATTTACATGAATCAGTGGCTGCATCCAAGCTTCACCGCTACCTTTTTGAGCGTATATCACACAGCCTTTATCCCAAGATTCTGATGTTGTAGTTGTAGGTGTTAATTTGGATATGATTCTGTGGTAGCGAGGATGGTAACATAGCCATTCTTTTCTCATTGGGTAATTGGGGCATCCCAGAACCCCCAGAACGACTTCTCCATCTTCTATCAACGCTAGAGCTACAGCATATTGATCCCCACGTATGAACCCCAACGTGCCATCTACAGGGTCAAGGGTCCAAAACCTTCCAGTCGAACCACCAGATGAGTTGCATCGGCTGATGGCTTCGAGAACCTCAGAAGTACAGAGAGTTCTTTCAGGACCTTCCAATCCAAACCGATATGCTTCACGAAGACACTCATTTACAGTTTCCACTACAGCTTTCAAGAGTCGATCCACGCCAGGCTTGGAAAGAGTCTGAACATCCTCTTCAGCAACAATGGATACATTTTTACTCCCAAAAGATTTGGACAGAATCCAGCTGATAATTGCCTGAACGCTCCAATCTGTTCACATTTGTGATTGAGAAAAGTTTCCAAACTAGAACTCAGTATGCATACCAACAAATTACCTATATGACCAATGAAAAAGGCGACTTCACAAAATTTCAACTCTTTATGTCTACATGTACAGTTTTCATTCTTTATCTCTTGGAGCTTTTACAGCCTAAAGATGCATTCAAAAAGGAATCTTTACAAAGTGTTCAGTTTGCATCAAACGACCTAAGGGAAGAAGAAGCCTTGATGTTCATATTCTATGAAGGGATCTATAGAACTAAATCCATCTCTAGATGCACAGCAAGTGTCTAACATATGCCGATCCCTGTCAACTCTCAAAATTTTTGACATGAACACCAATAGGAAACCATTTAGTCTTAGAGTCATGAGTCTGAACAATCTCTCAAAGTTCAGGCTTTTGGTTAAAAACATTTTCAGAGTTACTTTTTATCTGATTTTATATCCAGGAAAAGGTTCACAGACTCAAACCAAACCAGTCACCAACAGGAACCTTGACTAAACTCTGCCTAACAAATTAGGATAAAAACCCATCGAGGAAAATACTATCATTCTTTTGGTAAGTAAGAACATTGTATCAACAGAGAGAGGAGGGGGGCGCTGTTTGACGACTTCAGCAACAAAAGTATCATGGGGCCAAAAATGGTAAGAAAAACAAGAGCATAAGAACTTTTCTATCAGCAAATTCAGAACCTCGAGCTTAAAATACTATCCGTGTTATAATTGCCTTTTTCTAAACAAAAATACTAATACAATAATTTTAGCCTAAGAAAAAATCAACTTGATGGGTAATTTTTCTTATAATACAGGCGACCTACTTTAGGACCTTAGTGTTAGTCAAGCAAAGCTTCAAGATAATGGTGTAAAGCACAAGTGCATTTTCCCTTTATAGTTGAACACGGTTAATTTTTCCTGCATTGTCTTCTTAGCAAAAATGTGAATGCCGAAGTCATCAACACTTCATTGTAAAATGAGTCCACTGGCACGATATCGAATCCATCTTAATTTTAAAGTGGAACCTGAAGGTAATTTCCAAGGAGTAATATATATACAACAGAAATTCCCATTCTATCAACAGATAAGAATGAGATAATTCCAAACAACCAACCTCTCAAAATTAATAAATATAAATAACAAACAATATCAAGTTAAAATAAAACAAAGGGCAGATGAAAGCAAAACAATACGCAATAATTCGAAACCCATTTCAGAGATGACCAAGTAAAGCCCTCAAAGAAAGAATGAACGAAAGAAAATTACCAGCTACGGTAACAGGGGAATCGTCATCCTTGGCTTGAATTTGAGCATTGCTCTTAATCAAGTTGCTCTGAACTCTCTGACAGAGAAAGCAAGCCATCTGAACAGCTCCGACGGCGACTTTAAGTTCTTGGGAAAGCAGTTCCGGCCCTGAAATCAAAGGACCGACCTGTTTCTGGTCTTCCATTATTGACGGGGATGAGGAAACCGACGAGTATCTTCGATTAAGCTTAGATGTACAAGAAATGCGATATGGAAGCTTCCGGGGAGAATTATGGATGCATTTAAACCCTGCATAGTTGGGTATCCAACTGCTCTTCCTACTAATCAAACCGAACCCATGTGGAACTTTAGTGGCCAAATTTGCAGTATATAAGGGCATAATAGCAGTGGAATTGGAAAAAATCTCCACCTGGTTTTCAACGATTTGTATTATGCGAGATTGATGACGTTTCAACTTGGAAGGGGAAGGAATTCGAYGAGGGGGGGAAATGTAAAAGAAAAGGACAGATTGAAGCTGACGGTAAGGCGAGCTCAATGGCTTCTATATATATATAGCTTTCACTTCTTCGAATATCGCAGAGCCTTTTTGGAAGAAGAGAGAAATTGTGAGGAAGTAGTGTGATCCGAGTCCATGAACACTRAAAAGAAAACAGAGAACGCCATCAACATGCAAGTGTGAGATCATGCTTACCCTAATAACTTCTCTTTAATCGAATTAATTTGRTTAAAGTTTGTTTACCAGTAATTTTAAGTTTGTATTTCACATTTTAAATTSTTAGCATTTTCATTTTCGATTAAATTACAAGCCTATATTTCTAATAAATCTCTATACATTCAAAAGTTTTTTATTAAGGGTGTGAGTTTAGTGGAGTATCTATCCACCTTTGTATTTTGAAAAATTAATTTAATAATTATTTAGAACTTTAAATTTTGTATCSAGTAGGTCTCTTCATCCTCACTTTAATACCTATTAATTTGGTTGAACTTTAAAGACTATGTATTTAGTTGACTTCRAATAAATTTAGATATTTGGTAGCGTAAGTGAAATTAATAAATTTAATAGTATTAACATATTAAACATAAAGTCAAATATTCAAAATCAATCAAGAGGTTGTAAATTCAATTTCCACCTCTACATATTGTATTAAAAAGAGAGTACGAGGATTAGACCAGCATAATCTTAAAATTTAAAAAAAAACTCATGGAAACTTTTTTAAATATAAATAGTCAAAATTAAGAAACTCACTGTACTTCTAGACATTAACTGAAAATTTTGGACAAAACTTTAATCTAACTAAAATTTTATCCCGATACTTCTAACAGTGGTGGAAACACAAAAAAGTAGCAACTATTTTAACTTGTGTACAAATATAACATTATCCTWTTAATGATGATTAAATAAAATTTTAAAACTCTATCCAATAATTGATTGCATTATAACAAGAAAAACATCATAATATAGGTATATTGTTTATCAGTTAAATATGTAAATTACAGTTCCACGTTGAAAAGATGATGTACCTAATAAGCTTTATAAGATATATGAGTTATTTCTCTCCGTTTTTTTAGATATAACTTTATGAATATTGATAAGATTAAGGTTTTTCTATTCTATTTTGGGATAGAAAGTTCTATCCCCTGACATTTTTTTAACMAAAGAAATCACATGCAGGCTAATTTTATTGATTAATCGCTTGAGATATATATTAATTTGGCGAAAATGTTATTTGAGTAGAAATTAAATGCAGGTGCATTTATTACCAAAATAATGGGAAGAAATGAGAATTATTTTTCATCTCCTTCAAGAATCGTTGAAAAGAAGTTATATATTATTGGAAGAAATGAGAATTATTAATTAGAAGTTTAGGAAGATTATCAAAGAAAGTATAGTTYAGTAATAATGACATATATTTCCAATTAAGAATTGTGAGTTCAACCTCTCACTTCACTTGTATTAAAAAAAAATTAAGATGTTTCCGACTTTGAGTCAATATTTTTTTTTTTAGGAAACTATATGTATTTTATTATTTATAAAGTTGGTCCAAATATAAAATATATTAGAAATTTGTTCCCTGTTATTTACCTTTAGAATCCTAAAAACAATAAATAATACTCATTTTTATATGTGTAAGAAAGACAGACACGTCTATAAAAGAGAGAACATATGCAGAGAGAGAAAATGTGTGAAGAAAATATCCAGAATAAGTAGGAAAAGTGCTTATAATAAAAGATTGTAGACTCATAATTTTAATACAAAATACTTAAACATTCATTAAAGCATACATATTTACTAAAAGTTACGGATTCGAATTTCAACTCACCCATATTTTGAAAACAAGAAAAGTCTGTTTTCTTCTTCCGGAAAAAAATATTATTTTAAAATTCTAAATTGGGAAAAGAATAAAGTAGAAAGAAAGAACAGAAATTTGTCATCAATAAATATAAGGAGTGGACGGAAATGGCCATCACTCAATCTTTTCTTTCTTTTGAGATACATGATGAAATTTCTTTGATGAATTTTAATTCTTAAAAAGATAACAAATAAACTCATCATTCTTTCTCCTTTCTAATTGTTATTTTAATTCAACTATTCGAAAATAAAAAGCACACGAATTTGGAAAATTCGAACGGAAGTGGCTGGAAAGTTTGATTGGTAAATTATAGAGCTTTACTTTACCTCACCATAAAAAATTGATTTAATTGTACAATTTCTCACTTTTGAAAAACCCCACTCTCACCTGCAAAAATGAATTTTTACCAAGTGGATCAATCTTAATTTAGTGAAATTAATATTGTTATCACGTCTAAATTAGAATACTACAACAAGCCATAAATCTTTTATTTTTTTCTGACAATTTTAATCAATGGAAGGTATTAATTCAGTCTTTATTAAAGTTGAAGATTCAATTAGATCAAATTAAAATAGAGTAGCCAAAGCGGTAATTTGCATAATATCTCCAATCAATAGATTCTGAGTTCGATCCTCCATATTGTACTAACAAATCAAATACTATTAATTTACTATTGCTTGAATGTGCCTTCATTCTAATTGTAGCTTTAATATGCAAATGAGAGAAAAAACAAAACCATTCCTTGAAATCCAATGCTAAAAAACAAGTAATTGAAGATTTGATTTTTTTTTTTCCTTTTAAATATGTAGGGTTACAAACTTAGGAAGTGAGTCATTATGAGGTTAGCATATGACGACATTCTTTTTTATTTTTTTATATTATCAATAATAAAGCACTATATTATATTAAATTAACATGTGGAAGTAGAGATTCTAACTTTTTTTTAACTTTTTAGAATATTTTAGATCAGTTGAAATATACTTAATTTGACGTGAAAATTGACACCAGGTGGATTGAAATTAACTCCTATGGAAAGTGGTAACGGATAAAAACAGTTGGGTTTGTAAGTTTTCTTGTAAAAGCAAAGCTTTTGGCATAAGATGAATATATTTGATAGTGGTGGGGATTATGGTGTCTTTGGTAATTAAGGTTGTGTGATTTAGGTACTGAAGGGATTTGAAATAATTAGTGACATATATGACACTAGCTAGCTAGGCTCCTAATGGGATTGAAAAGGATGCCAAACCTATCTTTGGTGCTTAATTCACTGTATACACAATTTTAATTTATATGCTTTTGCTTATCTTAGGATTACATAGGAAAACAACATCACTCTCAAGCTCTTGTTTTGGGAGAGATTTATCTAGAGATCAAGTTAGGTCACACCCACATAAATATATATTGCCACATTAATTATGTTGCCTTTTATTATTATTATTATTATTATTATTATTATTATTTGATATATGGCAATTTGTTGAATAAAAAATAACCTTGAAGCTGCTGAGGTTATCAATATGTAAGCTAGATGTTATGATCATTGGTGTCAGGTTGTGTGAGAATGACTTGTGTGACTAACTCCCAAATCTCCCACAACCTTTCGCCTCAATTTTGGACTTTTTCATTTCTTCATTCTCCATTGGATAAACATTATCTAAACTTAATGGTTACACATGATGAAAACTTTGGAAGGGGCACTATGGAATTTCCACCACAAGTTGAGTGCCCTTTGTATTAATTAATATAATTAATTAAATTCATAATCAATACATAGTGTTGCACTGACCTAACATTAATTGGCATGTATGGTCTCCACCCAAAATATTGACATGTTATACTAAAAAAAGTGGTGTTGCACATAATTATATATGTAACAATCTGACTTGAAATAATAGTAAATCTAGGGTAAGTTAAAAAGATTTGCACCATTCTATAAAATTGTTATATTTCTAAAAAAATTATTAGCTCTATATTTACAAATATGACCAAATTACTTATTTTATTACGGATTTCTTTAATCATATTAGAAATTTATAATTTTTTCTTCTTCTTATTGTCTCTAATAGATTTTTCCTTAGATGTCCTAGAGTTAGTCGCCATAAGAGATAATAAAGAGGAAAAAAATTATAGAATAAAAGAGTAACATCTAATTTGTTTTTGTAAAATTTATTCTTAAATCAAATTAAGTTGATAGGGTAAAGTCATTAAAATTAAAATATAACTTATAAAGCGTAATGAAGAAGGAAAAAGATTGATTGAGGCCTTTCCAAAAAAATTATATTAAAACTGATTATATTATTGTTTAACCACTAAACAACAAGCTAGCTGATGTTAATAGAAATCCCAGTGTGGTTTATTATAATGGATTTTGAGTCTTCCTTTCACTTAAGCTGACAAATAGAAATAGAGGCTTCAAGTGCTTGGACGAATATTTAGGTCTTTTTTTGGTCAAGCGAATCTTTTTATCTTTTAGTGTATATATATATTTTAATTTAGTGGAGATAATAATGATTTGAAGTGTGAAGACAAAAGACAATCAACTTAATTAACTTAAATTATATGTACTGTGTTGCTATTATATATCCGCGGTTTTAGAAAATATTGAAAAGTTTGTTGGGTCAAACTTAACATAATTCAACTATTCTACCAACAACAAAATTGGAAGTTTGAATCCTCACACCCACATGTTCTACTAATTAAAAGAAAAAAAAAATCTATTCAATATATAGATGTACCCTATCATTCTTATTATAAGAACACTACGTAAGAACAATGTATACTGAAAACTATCGTTTTAAAAAGACAATTTTGCTAGAGTGACAAAGAAAGATATCAGAAAGCTTTATTTATTTATTTATTGATTTTCATTTGAAAATAATTTTCTAAAGAGATCTGTTCGACGAGAAATCCAATAAGAGAAAACTCGAATTTATGAACTTGTATTGTATTGAATATATATGTAGTGTTACAATCTCTAATGTATGATCATCTGAGTAATTTTCTCAGATGTGAACTTTAATTCGAGGGCTTGTGAGCTTGTTCTCACAATGAGTTTGCACCTTCAGATTCGAGCGTATTGAAGAATCTTTAGAGTTTCGGCTGTGAAGCTTGATGCTTGGCAAAGTTTGTAGGTTGATGAAGTCTTCGGCTTGTAGCTTGTGAAGTTCTTCGGCCGGTTGCTTGGCGAAGAGAAKATTTAGAATTCTTGAAGTCTCGTAGTCTTCGAGTCTTCCGTTCTTCGAGTCTTCAGTTCATCGAGTCTTGTTGGTTCTGGATGCTTCGCACTTTGAACGGTTGTRAATGCTCCGAATGCTCTGAATCTCCAATGCTTCTTGATCTTTCCCAATCCTTCTTCTCCTTCTTTCAAATAGAGGTGACCCCTCTATTTATAGTGCTTGGACCCAGTCTGGTTTTGATACAATTAGTTGATTTCATCGGACAACCATAAGAGGGACATGTGACACAATTTGATTCGTCGATTTAAAAATTAACTTAGGACACGTGTAAATTTGTCATTGGTCCTAAATGTAATTTTAATTTTGTGACGTGACCTTTAGTAATTAGCCGAAATTTCTCATTCAACAAGATTGTTAGTCAATGATCGTTAGATTTCTTCTTTACAATATAACATTACAAATTAAGTGGAGAGAATTCAAATCTACGATTTAAACGTAATAAACTGATTCTACTGCATTTGCTACTACTATGTTACAGAAATAAAGAAAGAAATTTAATTTTATAAACATAAAAACAGAAGAGAGAGTTTTTGTTGGCTAATATTATATTAAATGTAGCGGTCGGATTAATAATCAAGTTGAGGAGGCGAATCCTCCTCCTCCATCAGAAAAAACCCGGTTCAAAAGCATGGCCAACCGGACTCCACCTTCAGCAATGCGTTTCATCACTATTGGCATCCTTGAATCGAAGTAATCCTCTGCCCAAAAATCACATTGGTTAGAGATTTATCATCTCTTAATTAGCTTTTTTTAAAAAAAAATTTAGAGAATATTATCTCTTAATTAGCTACCCAAATTATTTTAGAAAAACTGCTCCATATTTTTCCTGATAGATACTGTTGTTTTTTATTGGAAATGTATACTTTACTATATTCATTTTGTTCCTTTTCTTAATGTTTTCAAATTGGCCATATCTAGATCTTTTAAAACTTGACAAGATAGTTTTTAAAATGTGTTTATGTTTTAATATTTTGATTAAACTTMAAAAATGTTCCCGAAAAATGAAATACAAAAGCGATAAACTGAATAATGTAATAAACTTAATTTCTTTTTTTCAAATTGAAAAGTGAACATAAAACATTATAGTATTTCTTATAATTTTTCACAATTATTCTAAATATGGACTGTGAGACAAATAAAATGTTAACAAACAAATCCAGTTTTTTTAAAAACAAAATAATCTAAAGCAGGCCCCTAAATATAAAAAATACTTCAGTATAACCAACCCATTATTAAGATGAATAGAGGACAGGTAATGGGCCTAATTTGAATATTGATTCTTCATTATTGAAGACTTAGTATAACTAATCCATTATTAAAATAAATAGAGAACCAATAATGGACTTAATTTGATTATTGATTCTTCATTATTTATGTTATAATTAAGGAACTTAATTTAGCCTATTTGAACAGACATATATATTCCGAACCAACCAAGAAATCGTGAATTTAAATCTACTTTCCTATTATTATACTAAAGAAAGACCATTAATTTAAGTTTGATTAGATTTACCTGCTAAAGTTGTACCAGCCTCAACTCCTTCATAACCCCACTTGCAAGCTAAGCTTATACTCTCCTCAGCCCACCTCCATTAAAAAAAAGGAAAAAATGAAGCATTATTTAGAGAGAAAAAAATTAAAATAGAGAGATCAAATATATAAATAAACATATACTTGTTTACGCATGAATCAAGATCTTCGCAATGCTGCCATGTTGGAATCTCATGGGTCCAAATTCCCTACAAGAATTGAGTTAGTATTAAAAAATGAGCTTATAAACTAATATATATTATCCTAATTAATGTAAAATAAATTATATTAATTACATGGGTCAAATTCCTTTGTATGTCTTGTAGGAGGAGGCCCGAGTCCTTGTCGTAATAATCTGCTAGAGCTGTGAGAATAATCTCCCTATCCCACACCTGCGTCAGTGGTTTTTTTTTTTTTCCCTAATTAGTAAGAATTGTCATAATTAATTAATTTCAAGCTATAAGTCTAAATTATTTCTTAGGGCTTACGTGGTGTAGATTGGACTTGTGGCGGTACCACCGTAAGTTTATGGTGTTCCCTCCCTCGTCGCTCGTGAACCCCACGTGCATTGGCTGGATGTAAAACCACCGGGTTAATTGTAATTTACAATTACACTCGGATAATTAATTAAAATTTTTCATATCGATATAGACATTTTAGGTTAAATTACTCCTTTCACTTCTTATAGTTTTAGTTTCATTAATTTCGATGTACCTCTTCTTTCTTTCAAAAACTACATAAACTACCTTTGATTATTAGTTGTTCGTTAAAGATTAAAAAAACTAAGAAGGAAAATGACTATCTCATCAAATAGAGGAGTCGGAGGATAAAATTTCTTTTGCTATTCAAACTTTTTTAAGGGTGGCCTCTATAATTTTAAAAATTTTAGTTTGTTCTGATATATCTAAAAATTTATTGGATAATACACTTACATTTCACTTATCTTTAAGCCGACACGATTAATTAATATAATAATTCAAATAAAATACCAATCATTAACTCGTATTCAATATGGTATAATGGAAATAATTTGTAAAGTTTGATCTGCATACTAAATTAAGAGGTTTTAAATTACAGAGAACAACATAAAATTCAGCTCAAATAAAGATCAAATTGGATTTTTTTTTTTTTTTTTTTTTTTTTGAGAAATGGAGTTTTTCAAATTAAATGGACTAAATTAGATTATTTAATATTTTAATCAATATTTTATTTACCTGATGAATATCCCCAAGGAAGTGCGATAGAAATAATAACGCCCCGGTCAAGTTATCTGCAGTAACCATGAAAAATCGTCGTCTTCAAAAAAAATAATCGGGTTTAAGTAAAATAAAACAAATCGGGTTTGGACCGGAGCCGGGTCGGGTTAATTACGTCGACGATCGGAGCCCCCTTCTGCGTAGTGCGCGAGCTGAGTGGTGAAATTGCGAACGGCGCCGGCGACGCACATGTTCTCGACGCCGCCGTTGTCGTGGCAATCTCCTATAAACAGCCACCAATTAAAAATCCAAAGAATAAAAAATGGACAAGATTGTTTGATGAAAGAGAGAAGAAAAAATGGTTACTCGTGTAGAGGAAAGAACAGGAATTATCGGGCGTGTCAATGAAGTGAAGAGGACTGGTCCAGCGATACCGATACCAATGTCGGATTTGGTCCGGCCAAACACACAACGCCGACAGGTTTCCGTCGACATTTTCCGGTAGTAAATTTTGGACGGCCTCTGTTGCGTCTGGATTCAGGAGGCCCTGTATTTAAAACAAAACAGAGAGCATATTAATTCGAGTGAATTGAATTATGTTATCCATTTTTATAAGTTTGTTGTTCAAGTTACCTGTGCAATTTGGCATGTTAGAACGTGGCCTTCTTTGCTCCATGCTTGAGCACTGGGGAGAACCAGGAAAGCAAAACTCAGCAAAACCAGAAATAGTCTAAACAGCCACATTTTCCCCCCTTTGATGATCAATCGCTTTGAATATATAGAGAGAGATGATTTGTAGTGTGAGAGAGGTGTTCATTGAGTGCAAGTAATTAGAAAGAAATATTTGCACATATTGAAGTGGCAGGAAATTGAAACTTGGCTTTGGACGCCAAGCAAAGTTGGGGCATGGGTGACTCGTTTTGCTTTATCTTAAAGAGTTGAAATACTGAAGTCAGGTTTGTGGTCTGGGGGAATTTAATTACAAAAATGAAGAGGAATTTTGGGGCCTTATTGGTTTCCATCCAAGTTGAAGCAGCTCATGTTGTACATTACAACAAGCCAACTCTGCTTCAATCTTTGATCAAAATGGTTGGATGGATTTTAAAACGGTTACTCGTCACTTGTGAGCACCTATCCTTTTATGGATAAAATTTAGTTCCTTGCTTATGTAGGTTTTTTCTAATAATTAGATAGATAAATAGATAAGTAAAAAGAGAGAAAATAAAATAAATAGTTGTTAATTCTTCAATGATAAATGGTAAGTAAGAAAATATTTATTACTAAGTACTTCAGCTTCTATCTTTTCTTAACTGATTATTACTAAAAATTCGATAGTCTCTGTTTACTTGTCAAAATTTAATGGGGGTGTTGAATTCGTTGACCAGCTAATATCAAAATATTCTACTTCTTCTTTCTTTTTTTATTGCCAAAAAATATTCTTACTTCTTAAAATGAACATAAGGGAAAAGAATATGGTTGTCAATCACTATGAATTGGTACAAAAATTTTGTAGGCAAAACTTTATCTTTTTTACCCTTTAATTTCGGCAAGTGTTGAATTATAACCTTAAGATAGATTACGTTGAGTGTCACTCAGAAATCATAATTATATAATATATTTAAAACAATCGTTCAAAATTAAAATGAGTAAAAGGGATCGCCCTTTTGCTCCTCATGAATTTTAATTCTATTTGAAAAGTATCAAATTGATTGATTACTCTAAGGAGAGGATGAAGAATGTGATTGTTATTCTCTCATTTTTGTGAGCCTCACTATTATATATGTTTTAATTTCTTTTTCTTTTATTCGCTCATAAATCACGTAATTATAGTCTTAAACAGTAAACAATCATTCTTTTAGTAAATAAAAATATTGAATTTTTTTACATTACACTTATTTTAAATTCTCTCGTTCCCTTTCGCTGTAAGCCAGGCCTCAGTTAAAATAATAAAAACTTATTATATTTATTTAAAAAAAGAAAAAAAGAAAAGCCCTTTTGACATGTTGTCACGATGAACATTTTCTGCGTCAATCTCTTTCGTCTTCCCCATTCTTAATCTTAAAATTTTACTCTGTGAATCCATCGGCGCGGCAGAAACCGGTCACTGATTGACTGTAATGGAGCACAACCAATAGCAGCGAACCATTCAATTGCGACACGAAGTGAGTAATCTGAAATCCGAATTTCTATTCAAGTCAGAGACAACTCCCCATAGATCGCTGTGAATCTGAAAGTCTAGTTTAGTTATAAGCTTTCGTTGCCCCCCCACCTCCAAATCCCAAATACTGGTCGCCGAAACCTGAAAGCCTCCTCGATTTTATGAAAGTTCGTTTAACTCTGCCCTCCAATTTACTTAAATTATCCATGAGTTCTAAACCGAGAATTTGTAGTTGTAGGAGATAAATTTCCCTACTCGGCTACTCCAGATTGTTTAGGCCGATAATATAATATGTTTAATTTTGTTAATGCACACAAATAGCTATAGCATTTATTATGTTGAAAGCTATTTGTTTTTGCTGATTCTAGGAATTGTTTTCCTAAATATTAATCACTGTTGGCGTATTTGCAGATCCTGTTATAGGGTTTGTTTCTGCTGCTGAATAATGGATTTATCCACATTGAATCCTGAACAGCTGACTGTATTAGGATCTGGGTTCTCTGTGATGCTGACAATGCATTACACCGTGCAGTTGTTATCGCAGCATCTCTTTTACTGGAAGAATCCTAAGGAGCAAAAGGCCATAATAGTTATTATATTAATGGCTCCCGTATATGCAATTGACTCATTTGTGGGTTTGCTAGATATCAAGGGGAGCAAGGAATTCTTCATGTTTCTGGATTCTGTTAAGGAATGTTATGAAGCCTTGGTGAGTCATTTTAACACAGTTTATTTTCTCTTTGCCTCGTACCCATTCTAGTTGAGTTAACCTTAATTGACTGTATGTGTGTTGGATGACAGGTAATTGCTAAGTTCATGGCTTTGATGTATAGCTACCTGAATATATCTATGAGCAAAAATGTCATACCAGATGAAATCAAAGGAAGAGAAATTCATCATTCATTTCCAATAACACTATTTCAGGTATGAGATGTCATGCATTGCATCTTAATTGCTAGATTGGACTCGTCTGTTGTCTTTGGGATCAATAGGATTTTCATCTTCCTTTTTTGTTGGGGCCCTTTGGACATCAAACTACTGATTTCTTCTTTAATTTTGATACGCTTTTCATATACTCGTAACTTTTACCTGGGATGAAAATTAACTGTTTTATCACTTGCAGCCTCGAATTGTCCGTTTGGACCATCGACATCTATTACTTCTCAAACATTGGACATGGCAATTTGTTGTCATCCGCCCTGTTTGCTCTATTTTGATGATAGCACTGCAACTATTGGGAATGTATCCTAGCTGGTTAAGATGGACATTTACCATCATCCTCAATATTTCAGTTTCTTTGGCTATGTATTCTCTGGTTGTCTTCTACCATGTTTTTGCCAAGGAACTTAAACCGCACAACCCATTGGCCAAGTTCATGTGCATCAAAGGAATTGTATTCTTCTGCTTTTGGCAGGTAAAACACACTAATTCAGGTCTTTTACCGTGAATAAGAAATCTTGTGATTTTTTTTATAACTCCCCCAAACAACCCCCTGGAAAAATTACAAATAATATGAGAA